AAAGTACAATAAAAAGAAAAAAACAGAAAAAAATAAAGATTAAATGCAAAAAATAATTTATTGTTAAAAAAAATTCTAATGATCATCTAAGCTTTCAGCAATTCACGTTCTTTTTGCTTGGTAGAAGATTTGATCTCAGTGTTAATGGCTGCTGACTGATCAGGGTGGTGGTTGCTGAAGGTAGAGTGGCTTTGACAATTTGTGACATCAATTGACTCTTCATGAAAGATTTCTCTGTAGCATGTGATGCTGTTTGATAGCATTTTACCCACAGTAAAACTTTCAAAATAGGAGTCAGTCTTATTAAATCCTTAGTTTATAACTAAGTTTATGAAATATTCTATCTAAATCCTTTGTTGTCATTTCAACAATCTTCCCAACATCTTTACCAGTAATAAATTTCATGTCAAGAAAACACTTTCTTTGCTCATCCATAAGAAACAACTCATCATTCATTCAAGCTTTATTATGGGATTGAAGCAATTCAGTCATGTCTTCAGGCTTCACTTCTAATTCTAGTTCTCTTGCGATTTCCATCACATCTGCAGTTACTTCCTCCAGTGAAGTTATGTAGCCCTCAAAGTTATCCATAAGCATTGAAATCAGCTTCTCCTAAACTTCTGTTAATACTGGTATTTTTGCCTCCTCCCATGAATCACTAATGTTCTGAATGGCTTCTAGAATGGAAAATGCTTTCCAGAAGGTTTCCAATTTACTTTGCCCAGATCTATCAGAGGAATTACTATCTAGGCCAGCTATAGCCTTACCAAATCTATTTCTTAAACAATAATACTTGAGAGTTGAAATTACTTTTTGATCCATGGGCTGCAGAGTGGTTTTGTTAACAGGCAAGAAAACAAGGTTAGTCTCCTAGGCATCTCCATCAGAGCTCTCGGGTGACTAGGTGTATTGTCAATAAGCAGTAATATTTTGAAAGGAATCTTTTTTTCTGAGAAGTCAGTCTCAATAATGGGCTTAAAATAGTAAACCGTGCTACAAACAGATGTGGTATCATCTAGGTTTTGTTGTTTTGTTTATAGAGCACAGGTAGAATAGAATTAGCATAATTCTTAAGGGCCCTAGGATTTTCAGAATGGTAAATAAGCATTAGCTTCCACTTAAAATCACCAGCCACATTAACCACTAAGAGGAGAGTCAGTCTGTCTTTGAAGTTCTGAAGCAGGGCATTGACTTCTCTTCTCTAGCTAGGAAAGTCCTAGATATGATCTTCTTCCAATAGAAAGCTGTTTTGTCTACATTTAAAAGCTGTAGTTTAGTGCAGCCACCTTCATCAACTATGTTAGCTACATCTGGATAACTTGCCGAAGTTTCTGCATCATGCTGCTTAACCTTGTGCTTTCATGTTACTAATATGGCTTCTTTACTTAAACCTCATGAAGCAACCTCTGCTATCTTCAAACTTTTCTTCTGCAGCTTCCTTACCTGTCTCTGTCCTCATACAATTGAAGAGAATTAGGGCCTTCCTCTGGATTCAGCTTTGGCTTAAAGGAATGTTATGGCTAGTTTGATTCAGACCACCAAACTTTCTCCGTATCAACAATAAGACTGTTTTCTTATCACCTGTGTGTCCACTGGAGTAGCACTTTTAGTTTTCTTCAAGAATTTTTTCTTTGTATTCACAACCTGGTTAACTGAAACAAAAGGCCTAGCTTTTGGCCTTTCTTAGCTTTTGACATGCCTTCCTCACTAAGATTAATCGTTTTTGGCTTTTGATTTTGAGAGAGAGGTGTGACTCCACTTGAACATATGGAGGCCATTGTAGGATTATTAATTGTCTAATTTCAATACTGTTGTATCTCAGGGAATAGGGAGGGCCATGGAGAGGGAGACAGATGGGGGACTGGGTGGTGGTGTAGTAGTCAGAACACACACAGCAATTAAGTTCACCATTTTATGTGGGTGCAGTTCGTGGTGGCCCAAAACAATTAGAACAGTAACATCAAAGATCACTCCTAACAGATATCATAATAATGAAAAAGTTTTAAAAGTTGTGAGAATTGCCAAAATATGACACAGAGACACAAAGTGAGCACATGTTGGAAAAATGGCGCTGACAGTCTTGCTCAACACAAACCGTTAATTTGTAAACAAAAAAAAAAAACCACAATATTTGTGAAGCACAATAAAGCAAAGCACAATTACACAAGGTATGCCTGTATCATTGTTTCAGATACAGATATTCTTCAATTAAGGTTACCTCTCAATAAATCAATTTTAAGCTGAAAATATCATAAGTCAAAGGTGTATTTTCTACTTATGATATTTTTAGTTCATGATGGATTTATTTGGGTATAACTTCATTGTAAGTCAAGGAGGATACTGAATGCATATCACTTTTACACCACTGTAAAGCTCAAAAATTGTAAGTCAAACCATCATAAGCAGAACACCATCTGTATGTAATGTGTCTTTTTCTCTCTGGCTGTCTTCAGCAATTCGACTACGGTTTGCCTAGACTTGGTTATCTTAATATTTATCCTGCTTGGACTTTGCTGAACTTCTTCTTAGATCCATAGGTTAGTTGGGGTTTTGCACCAAAATTTGAGAAAATTTCAGCCATTATTTCTTCACGTATTTTTTCCATACCATTCTTTCTTTCATGTTTTTTAGAATTCTAATTACACATATGTTGGATTTCTAGATACGTCCCCACATGTCAGTCGATATTTTTCCATTTTCTTACCCTCTCTGTCTTTCAGTTTGGACAATTTGTATTTGTTTTCAAGTTTACTGATTATTAGTTTTTCAAACTTTTTTTTCCTTTAAAAATTTTTCAATTATAAATTGGCAAATTATAGTTGTATATACTTATGGCATACAAAATGGATCTAAGAAGAAGTTCAGCAAAGTCCAAGCAGGATAAATATTAAGATAACCAAGTCTAGGCAAACCGTAGTCGAATTGCTGAAGACAGCCAGAGAGAAAAAGACACATTACATACAGATGGTGTTCTGCTTATGATGGTTTGACTTACAATTTTTGAGCTTTACAGTGGTGTAAAAGTGATATGCATTCAGTATCCTCCTTGACTTACAATGAAGTTATACCCAAATAATATGTATTTATTAATATACTGTGGAATAATGAAATCTTCAGCCCATTTGGAAATCTTTCCGTTATTGTAGTTTTATTTCTAGAATTTTCATTTGGTTCTTTTTAGTTTCATTTTCTTTTTTGAGATTACTTATCTGTTTTCTCATGATCTCTTATCTTTTCATTTGCCTTTGAATGTATATTCAAAGTCCCTCTCTGTTAATTCCAACATTGCATTATCTTGGAGTCTGCTGAATTTTATATGTATTCGTGATCACATTTTCCTCCTTCTCTGAATGCTTTATGTTTTTATCACATGCAGAACAGTGTAAAAGATATGTTTTAAGGAGTCTGTATTATGTCCTTTTATTTATTTTTTATTTATTATTATTTTTTTAGATGGAGTCTCCCTCTGTCACCTAGGCTAGAGTACAGTGGCACAATCTCAGCTCACTGAAACCTCCACCACCTGGGTTCAAGCAATTTTCTTGCCTCAGTCTCCTGAGTAGCTGGTACTATAGGCACGTACCACCACACCAGCTAATTTTTGTATTTTTAGTAGAGATGGGTTTTCACCATGTTAGTCAGGTCGGTCTCAAACTCTTTTCTCAGGTGATCCAGCCTCCTCGGCCTCCCAAAGTGCTAGGATTACAGGCATGAGCCACTGTAGCCGGCCTGTATTATGTTATTTTAAACATTATATTGAATTTTGTTCTAGCAGGCAATTAAATTGCTGGCAGGTCATTTTGTTTCTCTCAGGCTTGCTTTTATTTTGTATAAGGGCAGGCCTGTTTTCATTTTATCCTTAGTCCTAGGTCATGGCCTTTACTCTTGAATATGGTCCTTATGCCTAAGATGCAGCCTTTCTGGAGTCACAATTGAATGCCTAAGGTATTCCATAAAATCTCCCCACTCTGGATAAGTTGGAATTCTAATATATCCTGGCAATGTATGTCCTCTGGCATCTCAGCATGCAATAGTGCTCTCTCCTGTCTTTCTTAGTCTCATCTTATGATTGTGTAGCCAAACCCTCATCCAAGGACTGGGAAATCACTATGTAGACTGTTGAGGTTCTCCCTCTATGCAGCTTTCTTCTCCTTAGTGCTCTGACCCACAAATTTCAGCAGCCCCAAGCAACAGTCTTTCCTCTTCAACTCAAGACTGTCATGCTGTTCTAAAATGCCACCTTTCTAGGCTGTAGTCCAGTAAATACCCCTATGCAGAAAACCAGGGCTAAACATGGGTTCACTTCATGTATTGATCTTCTTTCAAAGATCCTACCATAGTTGTTCTACATGTTGTCCAAATGCATGAAAACAGCTCATATTTTTTTATCCAGTTTTATAGTCATTTATGGTGAAAGGGAAAGTTCAGAACCAATTACTTCATCATGACCAGAAGTGGAGTGTTTTTTTTTTTGTTTTTTTTTTTTGAGACAGAGTCGCACTCTGTCATCCAGGGTGGAGTGCAGTGACGTGATCTCTGCTCACTTCAACCTCTGCCTCCCAGGTTCAATCAATTCTCCTGCCTCAGTCTCCTGAGTAGCTAAGACTACAGGCACATGCCACCACACCTGGCTAAATTTTTCCTTTTTTTGTATTTTTAGTAGAAACAAGGTTTCACTGTGTTGCCCCGGGTGGTCTTGAACTCCTGAGCTCAGGCAATCTGCCTGCCTCGGCCTCTCAAAGTGCTAGGATTAATAGATGTGAGCCACTGCACCTGGCCAAACGAATATTTTTTATGTAAGAAATATACAAATTTATTTTAGGCATAGTTTTCCTAGTCTAAATACTCTTAGACTTTTTAATTTCAACATGTCTATATAAATTAGTGTCAAGTAACTTTAAAATTTATAATCCTTATACTTGTACTATTGCTCCAAACTGTGCAGAATACCCTTCTTACTTTAGGTATGTTTTGACATCTTTATGGTCTTCTCTCATCAGCTTACAAAGAGCCCTGTTTTGTGTATTCCCGAGTTGGAGGTAACCGAACACCTTTGAAGCAACCTATGGATTACTGTGACAATACTTTGATGTTTGAAGCAAGGTTTGAGAGTGGTAATCTACAGAAGGTAGTCAAAGTGTAGGTTATAATTATTTTTATTTGAGGAACTAGACTATCAACTTTTTTCTATATCAAAAGTACATTAAAGTTCTTATTATCCATTATTAAACTAATTCTGTGAATTAGTTTATAGATACTATTAATAATTAGAGATTATCATGGAGGAGGGAAGTATAAAAGATTCTGAGTTCAAATAATCTTGAGAACTATAAGGTAAAGTTAAGAAGGCTTCTGTACTGTACATTTTCAATATGGCAATATGAATTGTCACACACACACAGTGCTTCTCAAACTTTGTATTGAAATAGTTATTAGGATGAGTGTTCCAAAGAATATCCCAAGGGCATTACTTTATTTAAAAATATTATGGAAATCTTGAAACACACACTCAAGTACAGAGAACAATACAATTCTACATTCACTGACACATACCTATCACCTAGACTCAACAGCTATCAAGGTTTTGCAACATATATTTTACCTATTCCTAGGTCATTATTTACAACTGTACACATACAGATTACATACTAAGTGCAGAGTGCTGATAGAATAGAAAGTTACTTGGTAGAGAAAGAGTCATGGCTAACCAGGTAATATTATTATGTATATAAATAACATTCCAGTGAAATTAATATTTTTGCCTTGACTTAAGCATCTCCAGTGTCCTCAAATTGTTCAAATTATGTAATCTATGTTATCAACTTAATTTATATGTTTTAAAATCTCTCAGTGATAGTTATTTTATATCCCCAGAGTTAGACTCTAATAGATGCATATGTCTGAAGTAAAAAAAGGATTGTTGGACTTTGCCTCAGTTTCAGTAACTCTTTAATCATTTTTATGTAGAAAATATAATTAGGTTGAAATATATAAACTTTTATCAAGTATCTGTGTTTTTAATGTGCTCTCTTGAATTACAATGGACTACAAAGTCTTTAGAATTATCATAGAAGCAGTTTCTTATCCAATAAAAGGGAAAAATTTCAAAACTTTTATCTTTTGAAACTACTTGCTATTAAGTACTGCCTAGATTGTTTCCTAACAAAGCTTTCTGTGAATGAGTAAAAGGAAAATAATTTTCCTTCTTTAACTCAAAATTTTACATTCATTTTTTACAAAATGTCAGTTTTACATTCTTTTGTGCTTTTTTTCCCTTTCTTTCTTGTGTATTAGGGCAGAGTATGAATACCAATTGACTGTACGCCCTGACCTCTTCACAAATAAACACACCCAGTGGTACTATTTCCAGGTCACTAATATGCAAGCAGGAATCATCTACAGATTCACTATTGTCAACTTCACCAAACCTGCAAGTCTTTACAATCGGGGTATGCGCCCACTGTTCTATTCTGAAAAAGAGGCCAAGGCTCATCATATTGGCTGGCAGAGAATAGGAGACCAAATCAAGTATTATAGGAACAACCCAGGGCAAGATGGGCGCCATTATTTCTCTCTTACGTGGACATTTCAATTTCCACACAACAAAGATACCTGCTACTTTGCTCATTGTTATCCATACACTTACACCAACCTGCAAGAATACCTTTCTGGCATCAATAATGATCCAGTACGGTCAAAGTTTTGTAAAATACGTGTCTTGTGCCACACGCTTGCTAGGAACATGGTGTATATTTTAACAATCACTACCCCCTTGAAGAACTCTGACTCAAGAAAGCGGAAGGCTGTGATTCTGACTGCAAGGGTCCATCCAGGGGAAACCAACAGCTCTTGGATCATGAAAGGCTTCCTAGATTATATTTTAGGAAACTCAAGTGATGCACAGTTGCTTCGGGACACTTTTGTCTTCAAGGTGGTACCCATGCTGAATCCAGATGGTGTGATTGTGGGAAATTATCGGTGTTCCTTAGCTGGACGGGATTTAAACCGTAATTACACATCTCTCCTGAAGGAATCTTTTCCTTCTGTATGGTATACCCGGAACATGGTTCGTAGGTAAAATAAGCCTCAAATTACCTCTCTGCTTATTTAGTAAACTTGGTAGTAAGAATTTTGCTCCCACAATCTCACTCTTTTTACTGTTACTTCTCTTAAGATAGTCTAACTACTGTATAACTACTTTATTTTTTCCCAATTATTCACAACTGTGATTCTGTACCCTCTGGCATTATGCCACTGGATTCCTTAACCTCCCCTTAAATAACAAAAGATTCTAGAATGTTTAAAATAGTTTTATATTTTTTATAAATATATATATGAAATATGTACATATAAAAGGAGCTGATGGTATATCTAATAGAATATCTATAATGTCTGCTTCATGCTCTCTGAAATTAAGGTCCCTGGTCTGAGACATGATGGACAGGTCAATGCCCATTGGCTTCTCTCTATGGAAACTCTTTTAAATGTCACATTTAGTCTCTGATTGTCATGTAAGAAGGTTAAGGCAGGAGTCTATTCAGCAAGTTTCTAAAAGACTTCAAAGAGAGAGAAATGCCTTAAGGCAGTTAATCATACACAAGTAAGTAGGATAAGAAGTCAGTCACATATGTGTGGAAAGGTAAGCAGCTGTAAGTACATATAAGATTAAGTTTATATATTTAAAGCACATTAGAATAAGAGAGAGTAGATTTTTGTATAAAATACTTAGCATAAGACACTTAGAACATCTTTTTACCCATAAATATACCTATTGGTAAATCTTATACTAAGTATTTCTGTCTATTTATGGGTAAAAAAAAAAATCCAAACTGTTTCTAAAGTTATTTAAATTAATGAAAGATGAGAGACCCTAATATCCTGTTTCACTTCAGAAGTAATAGCATTTCTTTGGTAATTAATTTTTTAGAAGTAGAGTTTCTTTTGACTTGCTTATAAGAAACTGAAAGACTGAGGAATTTGGAGCTTAAAAATGTACAGCATGTTTCATATTTAAAAACTTAACTTTAGATATTCATGCCTCATAATCTAGTTAGTTTTCTAAAAACTTGTAATTATCTTTTAGTGGCTTTATGTCAATCTTATGTTATCAATGAGAATTTATTAGGTAGCAAATGAGAAAAGGGCAATAAATCAACATGTAATAAATTTAAGTTTGTAATTTCACTATAGTTTAAAGCAACATGGTTTCTAATAGAAGCAAAATGTTTTGGATGTTTATATTTTAGGTTTTAATATTTTTGTTGTAAATGTAATGTATTTCTTAATATTATAAATACTATTGCTAACATTTTGGTGTTTATCCTTCCAGATATAGAAAATAGTATATGTAATCTTGATTAAGTAATAATCCTACCACCTTAACACTACTACTTTCTTACCTTTGAAAGTCTCCTCATTTTATCGATCAGTTTGGGGGATTTATTTTTTGTTTTGCTCTTTTTATATTGAGTGTTAAATTATATAGACCGAAGGCTGTTGTCTTCAGGAATGTGTAATAATTTATATATTTGTTAGAAATTTATCAGAAAAAGTCAGTTCAAACTTTGGTACCATTTTTCTCAAATTGATAACTTGGTCACCACACTAATCAAGGGTTAATTATTAATTGGCTTCAGCATGAAGTCATCAAGCGCTCAGTGTTTTACAAATATCTGGGCACTTACTATGTGCATAGGACTCTTCTAGATGATTTGAAGCATTCCCCATTCTTAATAAGCTTGAATATGAAAAATATTAAAACTTTCCTAGACAAGGGTCATGCAAATGGTACCAATATCTTTAAGTGCTACCAAAGTTCAAAAAGAGAAACTCTGTGGCCTTGACAAATTAGAAAGGAAGTGTGACATGAGGTCAGCATTGAAGGATGGCGGGTAGTATTTACATTTACAAAGATAAAGTAAGAAGGTATTCCAGTCAGAAAGAAACTATGTGAAAGGTAATGGGTAAAAGCAAGAGTGAAAACATCAAAATAATAAAGCAGAGAGTTCTTGTTGGAGAAAGTTTTGGGAGTAAGGTAAATTTTGTCCTTATAATGGAAAGTTAACTGCATTCAGATTTACTTATTTATTTATTTATTTTTAATTTATTTTTTTGAGACAGAGTCTTACTCTATGGCCCAGGCTCGAGTACAGTGATGCCATCTCAGCTCAATACAACCTCTGCCTCCTGGGTTCAAGTAATTCTCCTGCCTCAGCCTCCCAAGTAGCTGGGATTACAGTCATGCGCCACCACGCCCAGCTAATTTTTGTATTTGTAGTAGAGAGGGGTTTCGCCACATTGGCCAAGCTGTTCTCAAACTCCTGACCTCAGGCAATCTGCCTGGCTTAGCCTCCTGAAGTGCTAAGATTACTTGCGTGAGCCACCGCGCCCAGCCTGCATTCTGATCTTTACATAGCTAATATATTATTAGAGATTTTAAAAGCTGTATATTAATAATATGCAATATCAACAAGAGAAAGCTAGTATAGAAGAAATTGTATTTATTTGGATATTACACTTCTAAATTCATAGCTGTACCTATAGAAGAAAAATGCAGAGATAAAACTTAGCAACTTATCTTTCTTACTGGCAGACTGATGGAGAAACGAGAGGTTATTTTATATTGTGATCTTCATGGCCATAGTAGGAAAGAGAACATCTTCATGTATGGCTGTGATGGTAGTGACAGATCTAAAACATTATACTTACAGCAACGAATCTTCCCACTTATGCTGAGCAAAAATTGTCCAGATAAAGTAAGCATCTTTTAAGATTTTTAACTTTTCCTTTACCAAATGTTGCCCATGTGGGATAGCAGAATGGATAATATTATTCCAAGCTGCTTTTTTATTTATTTTGTCTGGTTTACACAATTGACAATAAGAAAGCAACTATATAGAACTACTTAGTGAGCAATAATCTGAAAATATGGGGAGGAAAAAAGGCAAAAATGCCCCAAAAGCTACCACCATAATACCACTGCTGTTTTACATTTTGAAAGCTTCCTCTATTCATCATTTTTATCAGTCAGTTTTAGGGCCTCTTTTATTATTTTAATATTCATTGAGTGCCTAAATTATACAGACTAAACACTGTATTCTTAAGAAATGTGTAACAGTTTCTTCAAAGTATTTATTAGAATTTTGCCAGGAAAAAAACTCAATCCAATATCCAATATTTCAAAAATATATAGAAATTAGAATGAGAAAAGAATAAAGTATATTATTTTCACAAACTATGGAAAAATTGGAGCCACTTATTTACCAAGATATGAAAGTACTTCAATCATTCTTTAGAGAAAAGATGTTAACATAGCAAAGGAAATTCCTGCAGACTTTCCCATAAGTTCTCAACTAATCAGTTCAATTATAAAGGACTTATTGAGAAGAATTAATTGTCTTCTGGGGATAATTGGGGCCCAAAGACATGAAAAAGAAAGGATGATCTGATTAAAATAGCTATTTAAAGAAAGAACAGGTTTGTTCCCCAAAGAGGATTCATTTCCTCAGAAAGAAAGACCAGAAAACTCAACCTCATACCTGAAGCTATTCCTATGAACATTTATACTGTCAATACTCTTAGGTATAGTTTATTACTCCCATAAAATAATTCTATTTTACTAAGATATTTTAATGTTTGTTTATTGACATGCTTCGTAGGGTTTTAGATCTCTACCCTGTAGTGCCTTAGATGAAATCGACCAATTTCTTGAACAACTCAAACAACCACTCTGCAGTTTAAACAGGTCTTCCATGTCATCTAAAGCTTGCTTAAAACATAGAGGCTTCTGTTTCTAGGTTTTCTGTTAAATGTTTCTTTTTAAAATCTTTTTGTGTAAATCCACGATTATGGTTGGAGATTTTAAATACCTCTTACATTAATCTGGAACTGATTGATAGACAGTAGGCAAGGATACCTAAGAACTAAACAACATCAACCAACTGGATTTGACATTTGCAGGACACTCTTAAACATCAGAATGTACATTATATTCAAATGCACATGGAACAGCACCAACACAGATCACATCCTGGTTTAGAACAAATATTAACAAATTTAAAATAATTAACATCATACCAAATATGTTTTTAAGCATAATGGAATTAGACTAAATCAATAAAAGAAAAGAGGAAAATCTACTAACATGTAGATAGTAAACCACATTTCTAAATAATCCTTACACCCAAGAAGAACTCTTAAGGAACATTAGAATATATCTTGACCTGAAAGAATATGAAAATATGCAACATGAGCTTTTATAAAATTCAGCTAAATAGTAGCACTTAGAAGAAAATGTATAGCAAGAAGTGCTTACGTTAGAAAAGAACACGCTGGGTACAGTGACTCACGCCTGTAATCCCAGCATTTCGGGAGGCTGAGGTGGGCACATCACTTGAGGTCAGGATTTCAAGAACAGCCTGGCCAAGATGGTGAGCCCCCATCTCTACTAAAAATACAAAAATTAGCCAAGCATGGTTGTGGCTGTAATCCCAGGTACTTGGGAGGCTGAGGCAGAAGGATTGCTAGAGCCTAGGAGGCAGAGGCTACAGTGAGCCAAGATTGTTTTACCACTGCACTCCAGCCTAGGCAACAGAGCGAGACTCCATCTCAAAAAAGAAAAGAAAAAAGGTCTTGAATTAACAATCTAAGTTTCCACAATAAGAATAGAAAAAGAAGAGTAAAACTAAGCAGAAGGAAGCAGATAATAAAGACAAGTAGGTTAATGAAATTGGAAATAAAGAAACAATAGAAAAAATCAATTAAGCAACATTTGTGCTTGGAAAAGATTGGTAAAACTGATAAAACTTTACCAAGATTTATGAGGGAATAGGAGAAACTGAAAGAGGAAGAGGGGGAGGCAATGATGACACGACTTACCAATATAAAGAATGAAAGAGAGATCACTACAGACCCTGCAGCATTAAAAGAATAATAAGTGGAAACTCAATTCTATGCACACAAATTTAACAACTTAGATGAAATGAACCAATTCCTCGAAAACTACAAACTATCAAAACTCATCCAAGGTGAAATAATCTGAATAGTCCTGAAAAGCATTCTAAAAGGAAAGAAACTACAGAAAACAAATTTCTTCATCCAGATGGATTCACTGAAGCATTCTAGCAAAAATGTAAAGGCACAGTCTTTCCCAGGATTATCATGATACCAACACAAGACAAAGATCGTCTAAGAAAAGAAAACTACAGACTAATATTCCTCATGAACACAGATGCAAAAATCTTCGCCAAAATATTAGCATATTTAATCCAGCAATATATAAAAAAATATGACCGGTTTTATATTTGAAAATTAATCAATGTAATCCACTATGTTAAGAGTCAAAAGAAGAAAAACTGTGTGACCCCATCAATCAATATAAAAAAAGCTTTTAACACAATTCAGCATCCATTTATATATAAAAGAAAACTTTCAGCAAATAAGGAATAAAAGGGTACTTCTTCAACCTGATAAAGGACATCTACAAAAAACTCTACAGCTAATAGCATAGTTGATGAAAGACTAAATGTTTTCCACCTAAGATCAGGAAAAAGACAAGAATGTCCAATTTTTTACCTCCAGTCTTATACTGGAGGCTCTAACCAGTACAAAAAGGCAAAAGGAAAAGGCAGATAGATTGGAAAGAAGCAATGAAGGTGGCACAATTACCTGCAGAGAAAATCCGAAGTGATACACAAACAAAACAAAACAAAACTCCTAGAACAAGGGAGTTTAAGCACGGTCATGGGATACAAGTCCCACCCACAATTTCTATATACGTACAATGAAAAAATTGGAAACCAAAGTTAAAAACAATACCATTTTTATCATAGCTCCAAAATAAATACTTAGTTATAACTCTAACAAAATGTACAGACTCTATATGCTAAAACTAATGATTTATTTCATTAAAAACGCTAATGAAATAAAAGCTCAAATAGAGACATATGCTGTATTATGGATTGGAAGACTGAACACAGTAAGGCCTCAACTCCCTAGGTTGATCTGTAGATTTAACAGAATTTCAGATAAAATCACAGTATAATTGTTTATACACAGGCTGATTATAAGATGGATAAGGAAATGCAAAGGAACTAGAATAGACAAAACAATTTAAAAAATTAAGTTGAAGGAATCACACTATCAAATTTTAAGACAGTATAAAACGACAGTAATAAAGATAGTATGTTAATAGGAACTGTGTAAAAACCCAGAGCAATGGTACAGAATAGCAAGTCTAGTAACAGGCCCACATATATATGGCCTGTTGACAAAGGTGCACAGGAAATTTAATGGAGAAAGAAACCTTTCAATAAATAAGCGTTGGAACAATTGAACATCCACATAAAAAACAAACTTTCACCTACACCTCCAACCTTAAATGTAAAACTGTAAAACTTTTAGAAGAAAACACAGAAGATAATTTTTATGACATGGAATTAGACAAAAACTTCTTAGAAAATACCAAAAGCATTATCCATTGGATTGTAATGAATTGATAAATTGGACTTCATCAAAATTAATCCTTTTGTTCTCAGAAAGATCCTGTTAAGCCAATACAAAGATAAGCTACAGATAAGAGAAATTATTTGCAATCACATATCTCACAAAGAACTTTTATCCAGAATAGCTCAATAGTTATAAAACAAATCACCCAATTAAAAATGAAAATAATCTTAAATACATGTTTCCAAAAAGGATATGTGAAGGCAAATAAGCACATGAAAAGATGTTTCACATCAGTAGCTGTCAGGGAACTGCAAGGTAAAACCATGAGGAGACAAAATTACATACCTGTTAGAATTGCTAAAATAAAAAATACTGACAATCCCAAGTTTTAACAACAATTTGGAGTAACTAGGACTCTCATAGGGTACATTTTTGTTTGGAATGCAAAATGGTCTATCATTTTGAAGAGTAGTTTGTCAGTCTCTTATAAAGTAAATTGTATACTTATATGATTCAGCAATCCCTTTCTAGGTATTTACCCTAGAGAAATGAAAATATACATTTATATATAAACCTGTATACACAAGCATTTATAACAACTCTATCGTAATTGCCAAAAGCTGGAAACAATGCAAAATGTCCTTTAACCGGTAAATGGATATACATTTTAGTACACCCATACAATGGAATAGTACTTGGCAATAAAAAGGAATGAATATTCACGCAACAACTTGGATAAATCTCAAAAGTATTAGGCTAAGTGAAAGAAGCCAGTCTCAAAAGATTACATCCTATATGATTCCATTTATGTAGCAGTCTTGGAAAAGCAAATCTATAGTGACAGAGAGCAAATCAATGGTTGCCAGGAGTTCGAGGTGGCAGGAGGATGTGACTACAATTACCTTGTTAGGATTATAGAACTGTTGTGTATCTTGAGTGTGATGGTGGTTACAGGAATCTATGTGTGTTTGTTAAAATTCATAAAATGAGTCTGGGCACAGTGGCCCATACCTGTAATCACAGCACTTTGGGAGACCAAGGCAGGAGGATTGCATGAGGCCAGGAATTTGAGATCAGCCTGGGCAACATAGCAAGATCCCATTTCTATGAAAAGATACAAAAATAGCTAGGTGTGGTGGTAAGTGCCTGTGGTCTCAGCTATTTGGGAAGCTGGAGGGGGAGGACAGCTTGAGCCCAGGAGTTTGATGCTGCAGTGAGCTATGATCATAGCACTGCACTCCAGCCTGGGTGACAGAGAGAGACCTGTCTCAAAACACAGAAAGATACATAGAATGAAACACTAAAAGTTAATTTCATGGTATGTTACCGAAAAAACAAAATTGCACCTCAAAAAATTTCTTTGTAGACACTGATATCTTTGTAGACAAACTTTCAGGACATAATTTCAAATGGTCTTTCATATGAAGATAAAGAAACTTTATTTTTGGACATCTCCAACATCTCCTAACATTCAGTCTCATGTTAGGAATGAAGACTGAATTCCTTCCTAGAACTTTTTTAAAAGTATAAAATTTTATCCCAACTATATCAAGAATTAATCAACTTTTGGAAGCAACCTAAGTGTCCATTAACAGATGAATGGATAAAGAAAATGTGGTACATATACAGAATAAGTACTATTCAGGCATAAAAAAGAATGAGATTCTGTCATTTGCAACACATGGATGGAACTGGAGATATTGTGTTAAGTGAAATAAGCTAGGGATAGAAAGACAAACTTCACATGTTCCCAGTAATTTGTGGGAGCTAAAAATTAAAACAATTGAACTTATAGATACAGAGAACAGAAGGATGGTTTCTAGAAGCTAAGAATGGTAGTGGGGGAGAGCAGAAGTGGGGATGATTAATGGGTACAAAAAAAGAATAAGAACTAGTATTTGATAGCACAAGAGGGTGACTGTAGTCAATAATAATTTAATTATACATTTAAAAATAACTAAAAGTATAATTGGATTGTTTTTAACACAAACGATAAATGCTTGAGGTGATGGATACCCCATTTACGCTGACGTGATTATTACACATTGCATACCTCTATCAAAACATCTCATTTACACCCTAAATATATAAACCTACTGTGTATCTGCAAAAATTTAAAATTTTAAAAAGAACTGATTTTGAATATATATGTTACATAAAGATATATGCATATCTTTCTATAAAAATAGTAAATTTTATTGTAGGAATTAGAATCCATAGCTCTCAGAAATGTGAACAATTTAACATCCTTAAAATGAGTTTTTTCCATGGGTCAGGAAATAAAAAATAGCTCCTGAAGCTTTAGTGAGAATTACAGATTTTACATAACCACTTTTTCATTTTTAATACTACTTCCAAAAATATATAAAGGTACCAGAACAAAGAGTCTCATTTTTACTTGCTTCCTTTCAGTTTTCATTCTCAGCTTGCAAGTTTAATGTCCAGAAGAGCAAAGAAGGAACAGGAAGGGTGGTAATGTGGAAAATGGGAATCAGGAACAGCTTTACCATGGAGGCGACCTTTTGTGGATCTACTCTGGGTAAGACCAAGGGTTCTCGTTCACAGCTCTCAAAGCTTTAAACCCAACATATATAATTTAATATAAATTTAATAGTACACATAATACCACTTTCTTCCTACTTAAATAATGCTAATATTTAATCAATTCTCTAAACAGAATGAATAAATTCCCGCTATATGGTATCTCTATTTCATCATTTCCTTTTGTTTAGAAAGGAACTGTTAATCATGTAAATAGAATAGTTAGTTGTTTCATATGCTAATTTTTAAATGCTCGTTATTCTTTTGGGAATATCTACAGATTTTTAAGAAATATTTTTATCGGATTTGCTATTTGCAAGGCAAAATGGACTTTTTGGGGTCAATAAATGTTTAAATGAAAGCACTTTGTTCTCTGAATAAAAAAATGTGCTTTGTGGTCCCATTTAAGAAATCATTTAATTATATCTAGCATATCCTAACATGGTTAGAATACTCCATATTAAAATAATTGTCACATTATCAGAAAATGTATCAACTTAAAGTGCTGGAAATCCACACATGTACTTTCCAGCTACTTTTTAAAGCACTTTAAAACTGATATAACATTATTTGTGATGATGAAAACCTTTTCTCATAAAATCTTTATGCAAGTTTTTCTCAAAGTGATTATTACGACGGTTTCTAACTGGCAACCAAATATTGTATAACTGTCTTACTGAATTTTTTTTCTGCCTTTGCAACATACACTAATGTGCGTTAAATCAGCTTTGGTCCAGATGGTGGAAAAGGAAGAAGGGAAAGCAATGAGCTGTTAAATGATCTGCCCCGGAGAAGAAAATCCAAAGGACAGGACATGGAATATCAATGTTTTGTTTATACTCTCTGTTTTACAATGTACCTGCTAAGAAAAATTAACTTATCCTCAATAGTGGATAAATTTATTGATGTTTTAGGTAATAAGCGAGGCACTCATTTCAGTACAAAGGACCTGGAATCAATGGGATATCATTTTTGTGATTCTCTCTTGGACTACTGTGATCCCGACCGGACCAAGGTAAGCAAAGTCCATTTGGTAATGCATCAGACTCCAGCCTATCAGATAACATAAGCTGACTATGGACCTATGCAGTGTTTGCCTTTTAATGTTCCAAAAGTGTTGTTGGGGGTTGGGCACTTAATTTCCCAGTAACAATTGTTCTAGGTGTCTATAAATACTCCAAATAGTTTAATTAGGAAATAAAGTTATTTTGTAATAAACTCATTTATCATTTTTCCCTAGTATTATCGGTGTCTGAAAGAATTAGAAGAAATGGAAAGACGTATAACCCTGGAAAAAGTCTTTGAGAATTCAGACACTCCTGTGATAGAAATTACATTGGATGTAGAGTCTAGGTAACTTAAGACTACTGAAGTAATGCAATTTGATATACTATGTTCTTTATAATTATACCAGCATTTTATTGTCAATTCTCAACTTAAAATCCCAGCTAAAAGTGATTTTTTTCTATTATTTTTCTATTTTCTATTTTATTTCTGCTTTAATATTTGTTATTTCCTTTCTTCTGTTAATTTGGGGCTTAGTTTGTTCTTTTCTGTCTCCTTAAGGTATAAAGTTGGGTCATTTGTTTATTCTTTTTTAAGTATAGACATTTATCACAATAACTTTCCCTCTCGCTTTTGCTGTATCGCATTAATTCTGGTATGTTATGTTTTCATTTTTGTCTCAAATTGTTTTTAATTTCCTTATTTCACCTTTGACCCAATGATTGTTCAAGGTTGTGCTGTTTAATTTCTTTATACTTGTGAATGTGAATATTCCAGTTTTCCTTCTGCTATTTATTTCTAGTTTCACTCCATTGTAGTCAGTCATAATACTTAACTAAATTTGTTAAGGCTTCTTTTGTGGTGTAACATATGATCTATCCCTGGGAAAGTTTCAGATGTGCTTGAGAAGAATATGTATCCTGCTACTGTTGGGACAATGTTCTGTGTATGTCTGTTAGATCCATTTGGTCTATAATGTTGTTCAAGCCCTCTGTTTCCTTATTGATCATCTATGTCAATATTCTATTATTGAAATGAGGTATTGAAGTCTCCTGCTATTATCGTATTGCTGTTTCTCCCTTCAGTTCTATCAATGTTTGCTTTATATATTTAGGTGCTCTGACGTTAGGCGCATATATATTTGTGATTGTTATAATCTTCCTAGTGGATTGACCCTTTTATCATTATATAATATCCTTATTTGTCTCTCATGACAGTTTTTTACTTAAAGTCTATTTTGTCTGATATAAGTATAGCTATTCTTGTTCTCTTTCAGTTACCATTTTAGCACGGAACATATTCCCATCCCTTAATTCAGCCTATGTATGTTCTTAAATCTAAAGGGAGTAAATAGATTGTAGTTGGGTTCTCCTTTTTTTAATCCGGTCAGCCATTCTCTGTCCTTTGACTGAGGAGTTTAGTCCATTTATATTTAAGGTCATTATTGATAGAAGATTTACTATTATCATTTTGTTGTTTTCTATTAGTCTTATAGTTTTCCATCTTTTATTCTCTTCAAATTATTTCTAATGCTGTTACTACCCACAGAGAACTGACATTTTATTGAGATGACACAAAAGCAGTATAGTAAAAGGTAATTAATAATAACTGGAAAATTCAATTCTAGGAGAATATAGTTGGAAGAAATAATACGCTAATTTTAGTACAGTACTTACAGGAAAGGTAAAACAAATGTACGATTCTTCTATTTATACATTTTTCAGTCTTGAGTTAGTGCCCCTGCAACCTTCCCTGGTGACTAAGTTTGTCTCTAGATGAGAGTATCATTTTGAGCTCATAAATTTGCTTATATAATATTTGATGTGCTCTAATCAATTTCAGTGATTGTTATATGAATGCTCAAATTTTCCCAAATCTGTGAACAAGACCGATTAAGTTGGCCTGTATCTTTTTTGATATGACTCTCATAGTCTTCAGTTTTCAACCATGATAAGATTTCCCAGGCTCATCTTGTACATTTCCTGCACCAAAACTGGAATCAACCATTTCTCTCAGAAGTCCTGGTTCTTTTCAGTGAAAAGGGATATTTAGATAACATAGCCTAGAGGGTAGTTATTATTGCTTCCAGGTTATTTTTCCCAAAGGATTAAGAAAGGAAACATATTTTCATGAGAAAAAAAAATCTTCAGTTCATAATTATATTTCCAGTTCAAATTTAAGATTATAGAACTTATTCTTCCTTATTTTTTTATGCTTCTGTCTCTTTTCTCTTATACTGAAAAATCTTCATTCCTAATTGCATTAGGGTAAATATTTACCTGCTCTTCCTTTTTCTATCATATACCCATAATAATGCTACCAATAAAATGACTATTGAATGCAGTTTAACATTTCTTTGTAATTCTTTTTAAGCTTAGTATAAAGTATTTTTTAGAAGGGAAGAGATTATTTTCTCTCTGTGGCTATGCCACCAGTCTGACAGTTAAATGTCTTTGGTTTTGATTGTATTAATTTTAGGAATAACTTTATTTAATGTTTTGTTTTTAAATTATATAACATATTTACATTAGAACATCAAAGGTATCTAATGAAGGGTATTCAAAGAAGTGTTGATTTACCCTATCCCCCACCTACCCTGTTTCCTCCCTTGTTCCATGGGCAACCATTTTCATTAGATTTTTTACTTATTCTTTTATTGTTTTACCTTGAAAATATGAATGAATAACTACATATTTTCATGTCCCTGTACCTTATATGAAAGGTAGCATACCATAAGCATTGTTCCATATCTTGCTATTTTCACTTACGATATTCTCAAAATCATTGTAGATTTTTTGGTATATAAGTGTTTTCCTTATTTCTGTGTAGTACTCCATAGTGTGAATATATCATAATTTACTCAGTCTGTCCTCAAATGAAACACTTGAAAATCACCTACTTTTTTCAATTAGTCTTTTTTAATAGATTCAGGGGGGTATATGTGTGGGCTTGTTACATGGATTTATTGCAAATGCTGGGGTTTGGGCTTCCATTGAACCCATCACTTAAATTGTGAACGTAGTACCCAATAGGTAGTTTTTCAATCCCTTTCCCCCACCTTCCTCCCACTCTTGGAGTCCCCAGTGCCTGTTGTTTCCATCTTTATGTTCATGTGCACCCTTTGTTTAGCTCCCACTTATAAGTGAGAACATGCGGTACTTGAAAACTATCTACTTGTAAATGTGGTTCTAAGTCAGGATAAGAGATAGAAGTAAGATCAAATAAGATAATGTATTAGTAAATGCTCTATAACCTGGTGCTATAAAATACTACATAAATAATATACATCATGTGTTATCTATCTAGAATACCTTTTAAGAAATTCAGGAATTTATGGTAAATTGGGACATAAGCTTGATTTCCTAGCACCAATCAATAGTCTACAGAAGTCTGTAGAATGTTTTTTGAGGTTACAGAATCATTCCATGTTGGTTATTTTGGAAACTGTATAATATCTAATGTATACTGAAGAAAGCTTCATCCTTAAATGTGCAGAAATACTACAAATGTGCTTCTTATGTATATTGCCCTTTTTAAAAAGGAACATAATAACCACCATCTACTTTTTTCAGAGATGTAAAACAATTTCAAATGAAAGCTTCCAAATGTTTTAAGAACTTTGCATGCAGATACATGTAGAAGCCATAGTTTCATTCTTTAATTAATTCTCAGTTCAATTTCTTCAATTGAAATAGTTGTATTAGAATTAGATCTACATATCTCCCAGTGTGAGTTCTGGTAGACTGTGTCTTTGAAGAAGCTGGTCTATTTCATCTAAGCTATAAAATTTGTGAGCACATAGTTGTTAATATTCCTTCTTTATCTCTTTAATTTCCATAGCATCAGTAGTGATAACTCCTTTTATTTCTGATGTTAGTAAATTGTGTCCTTTCTTTTTTCTTGGTTAGCCTGGCTAGGGATTTATCAATTTTATTGATCTTTTCAAAGCATCAGCTTTGTTTTCATTGATTATTGATTCCCTGTTTTCAGTTTCACTGATTTTTAAATTATTTCTCAATTTTTCCTGCTTGCATTAGGTTTCTATTTCCTTTTCTGACTTCCTAATGTGGACACTTGAATTCTTCATGTTAAAGCTTTCTTCTTTTCTGATATATGCTTTCAATGCTATGAGTTTCCCTCTAAGCACTGCTTGTATACTATTCTACAAATATTGAAAAGCGGTATTTTAAATTTAATTTAGTTAAAATACTAATCTTTGTTCACACTGGACATGATTATCCATGTAGAAAATATCAAATAATTTTAACCAGAAACTAACAATTATAGAAAGATTTAAAGATACAAGGTTAATATACCATTGCCTTTCAATATACCAGCCATGAACAATTGGAATTTAAAATTAAAAACAAAATACCATCCACACTAGCACAAAAATTTAAAATATTTGGATTAAAGCTAACAAAATATGTGTAAGATATATATGAGGAAAATTACAAAACTCTAAGGAAAGAAATCAAAGAGAATCTAAATAAATGGAGAGAGAGTTCGTGTTCACAGATAGGAAGACAATATTGTTAAGATGTCAGTTCCTCCTGGCATTATTTTTGACTCAATGAAATTTCAATCAAAATTCCAGAAAGCTATTTTGTGACTATAGACAAACTAATTCTAAAATTTGCATGGGTATGCAAAAGACCTGAAACAGCTAACACAATACTGAAGGAGGACAAAAATCCAAGGACCTACACTACTTGAATTTAAGACTTGCTATAAAGCTACATATATAAGCTACATAATTCAAACAGTACAGTACTACAGAAAGAACAGACTATATTTGTCACCACTGACAAATATAGTCAATGGCGTTTGAAGAAAGAACAAAGGTAGTTAAATGGAGAAATAAATCTTTTCAAGAAATGTTACTGGAACAACTGGACAAGCACAGGCAAAAATATGGATCTAGAAGCAACTTTGCACCTTTCACAAAAATTAACTTCAAATGAATTATAGACCTAGAGGTAAAATACAAAACTATAACACTTCTAGGAG